AGTCGTTGCGAGCTCTTTGGCTCTTTCACTGCTTCCAGTGTACACTGCAGAGACCTGCAGCAGTGTCCGGGTAATCCCGCTGGTTAAGAAGCCTTGCATTGGTGGGTTATGGCATCTGGGCCATGTGGCCAGTGTGGAACCAGTCCTCTGGGCTCTGCTATATGCAAGGCCATCCCCAACTCCGACACACATCTGAACTGCCCACGGCAGCATGAAGCATGACATGAATGGAGTTGAAGATGATCACATCTAGGGCACGAAACATGCCGAAGAAATGCTTCAAACTTCCCCGGCATTCCACACTCTACGAAGCAGAGCGATACTCGCCGCGATTGTCAAATTCACAGTAGGGGGTTGTGTGTCTCGCGATCTTTGTGCTGTTAGACAACATTCGCGTTCTGAAGCTGAGAATTTGACACCCATGCACTTTATGATCGCAGATTTCGCTACATCTTGTCGGGTAGATCAGGACATTCTTCACTAACCGACATGTAGCTCCCCATATAACGCAACTACAACCTGAGCAAAGATACCAAGTGCCTTTACTACACATGAAGGTCATATTTGCTATCAGCAAAGCTATCACGGCATGTCATCCTACCGTATGGCTGTGCACTTGCAGAGATGTTGGTTTGGTACTGTACCTCTGCTACGAGAAACAGCTAGCTAGAGCTGGGTAGAGTGCACACGCGACCACACTCTGCCAGCGAAACGCGACCCAAACCATCCCAAACCCGCATTGCATGACGACAACGGCCACGTACTTGCTAGTTGGTTTAGTTGAACAGATGTTGCCGGGCGGATGAGCAACACAACTGAAGCCTGAACTCACAGCTGCATCCATCAAACATTGAATGGCGGGGCGAGTTCTACACGACTTTTTTCTCTGCGGCAAGCGTACAGGTTCCAGCGGCAACCGGATGGTGTCTTGCCTTGCGCGCACAGCTGCTGGATGCTTCTTTTCAAGTCACCCCTTAGCGCTGAAAATGATATATTTACAAAACGGGACACTGTGAGAGTGCGCTTTTTACGTGTTTTACGTGCTCCCAGACACACCAAATACCGTTAGGAGTCACGAAAGCTGTACAACCCTTGCAGATGCCCACAACAAACAGCCAAATACATTCGGAAAACACCACGAAACCCATAAACACCAAAAACACCAAAGCAACCGAAAACACCAAAGCAACCGAAAACACCAGAGAAACCACAAAAACAAATAAAGCAAAAAAACAAAGAAACCAAAAAAAACAATTCCTTGGGACTCCTAGATTTGGCGCTCTGTGGCAGGAGTCCCGAAATATTTTTTGTTTTTTTGGTTCTCTTGCAATTTCCCTGGTCTGGTCGCTTTGCTGTTTCCCGCGCGCTGCTTCCTGCGCGGAGGGAGCCTGCGTGTGGTCTTCCCTTTGTGCCGATCAAGAGGACTCAGAATTGCATGTTTCCGTATTGTTGGCTACTGTACTATGTGTTGCAATGTCGGCAGTACCAGTCCATTGGTAAGTATAAATCCCAAGCCTTAGCCTTAGCTGTTCCTAGCACATAAAGATCTCTAGAATTACATAAATATGTAAATGTGCATACATATTTGTATATACACATATATACACATAATGCATATGCACACCTGTTTTTCATTACACGGGTATATATACACATGACATATGCTCACCAATCTGGAAGATTAAGATTACTCATTACTATTTCTACAGCATATTAACATAAGAAAATATATGCAGGGGTGTCAATTCATGCCCCTTTTCCAAACATAACCACATACACAAATGCATACGTAGGCAAATAACAGCTGCATACGTTGTTATCGCTTTGAAAAATCGATTTTATAATCATCTCAGTATACAGGTGTACCGAAGGCTTATTTATATGGACATATGCTCCTATTCGTTTGTATATGTCTGTGTGTGACATTGTATACAGATATGACCTGCTCATCAAATTCCGTAAAAAGCGCTTGCATCTTCATGTCAGTATACAGGTAGGTTTATCGAAGGCTTTAAATGGACATATGCTCGTATGCATTTTCACATGCCTGTGTGTGACATTGTATACAGATATGACCTGCTCATCGAATGCCGTAAATGCTGAGATTCACAGCTCTGACTAAGGGTAGGTGCGAAAATGTGAAAGGTCATATGAATCCGTAAATTGCCTCATTTTCTTTCGTTTTGTTTCGGACTCGTTTCATTGAAGATATATTTTTAATGTGTACGTTACAGCAGCAACTCCTGAGGAGCAAAAATTACCATGCGAACATGATACAATATAGGTTACAATATCACATCATCTGTACCAAATAATGAAGACATCCGACGACAAACGTGCTACCGTACTTGCAATGGAGCCTTCATGTAGATGCTAGTACGAGCGAACTTACCACGCACACGTATGGACAACATATATATGTATATCGTCGACCCAAGACCAAGTAGTCGTGATTCATGTATGTACTCTGTCTGTATATTAAACAAACGTATAAACACACCTACACATGCATATATATATATATATATGCAATATAGAGGATATCACCCTCACCCTATCATACTTATTCTTAGCTTCCGGAATCTTGATTGTGTGGAACATTGCACTTATGCTGCTGGCAGTCGAATTTAAGGCGTCGTCTTATAATCTGAAGGCATTATGCAAGTTTATGGACCTACACCACCATGTTGCATCACAAAAGCCGTCCCACTTATTCATATGTATGTATACATAATATACATATACATATATACGAAAAGGTATGTGCATTCATATAAATGGACAAAGGTGTGTGTATATATATATATGTATAAACAACCAACTTATATAATGTACTTATATGTATGCACATACATCTGCGCATAAATTTCTCTGCATATGTCTATACGGTTGATTTTTGTCCGTATGTTATGCCACTTGCCTGGTTTATACATTACGAGTCTGAGCATACACATTTACGCATTTACCTTTAGATTATATACACACAGAAGAGTCTAAGTAATTACATACATATACACGTGTACTTATGTATGTTTACATATATATGTATAAACTTGTACATACGTTTGTCTAAACGTGATTATATATATATACATATACATATACATATACATATACATATACATATACATATATATCTGTCTACATGTATACGTGTACATATATGCATACATATATATATATATACATATATATATATATATACAGATACATATGTTACGGGCTTGTGATATTGCATCACAAAAGTTTCCTTTACACAGATAAAATATTCAAAGAAATGGCTTTCATTATTGATACATACTGTTGACTCATAGGACGGTGTAGCGTAGGCAGGATGTTATATGCGTCTGTTTGCAGAGTTACGCTCTTTGATATTATAATGAGGATTGAGCTTAGCACTTCTGGGCTTGGCACCCTGTGATCTTTCATGTCGTATCGCTCATAGCCAATGATGCTTTATGTAGTTCGAAGCAGTTGAACAACTGGAGAATTTTAGTGACGTGTATTTGCGAGTGCTGTTACACATAAAAAATGGTACATTTGTATATGCATGCAATTAGAAAGCTGCGTATGTTCACATGTAGAAATGCATGCATGCTAGCATGTTTATATGCACAATTACATTTACATATATTCACCCACATGAAAACATATCCATATGTGCTATACAGACCAGCTGGGATGGATCATAGTAATGTTTGAGACTACAGAAGCCGTTCAAAACTATAAAAAAGCGCACTCTCACAGCGACCCGATCTCTATATTCAATATGAGGAATGCTTCACATGGGACTCAACCAGCAACCCGACCTACCTGCATGAATTTGTTTTAGCTTAATTCGGGCCGCTTGGGTGCATTGACGTCGGGTCGGCCGTTGTGCGATGACAAGAGAGTGGTTGGGTTCGCCGCGGCTGCATGGATCTTGGGTAGGCGACTGCTTCGATTTCTGGGCTTCTATTGAGACACCAGCGTGGAGTGGCCTTGGCGAAAACATTGGGACGAAACTGCTTCCCTTCGCCAAAAGCGTGCCACTGAGGCGATGGAGGCGGTCCGAGAGCTCTGCGCTCATGATTTTGCAAAGGAAACTTTGCCGAGGATTGTCCACGTTGTGCACTTTAGGCGCTGAGGCGCCGCGTGAAGCGAAGAGCTAGATTTCGGGGGAGAAGGCCACGTTCGACAGAGATCATCAAGATCATGATGATGATGATGATGACGATCATCAGCCCTCTGCCTTCTATGTACGACCACGATGTGCACACTGTAAACATGCGGTCTACAGTGACCGGTGCCTCCAAGTCGGGCCGGCAGCTGAAGCAGCACCAGCAAAAGCCGCAGCACATGCAGCTTTGTTACACCGGAATCTCGAGCCTGCGGAGAGGCAGCGGGACCCACCAGCAACTCGGGGAATCTGTCCAACTTCGCTAGACTCTCTAGGCATGGCTAGGAAGCGTCCAATTTCAGAACGATTGGGAACTCGAAAGGCCCTGGTTCACCAATCCAAACGGTGGGCACACTGTGGATGTCTCTTGTGAGCCTGGTCATGCCGACCTTTCCCCAGAGGCCGCTGCCGCACTCTGCTTCAAACTCTGGCTTGGGCCTCAAGAACACAGAACACCACAAAAAACAGCCCACAAAATCTAGTGGCAAGTAGCGGCAGCAGCTCTACGTCTCGACTAGGATAGCCTGAGAATGCAGAGTTTGCGCGCAAAGACTATGTCCTGGAAAAAAGCAGCACTGTCACCAGCCGCTGGATGTGCTGGCTGTTGACCACTGGAGTTCTAGTCTGTGTCTGCGAACGGCGGCGGGCGCGGATAAGCGGAGAATGCAACAAAAAAACGCGAAAAGCCGAAAAGCGAAAAGTCGAAAAGTTATAATTTTACGCGAAAAACGCGAAAGTTGAAAAGTCGAAAAGCCGCGAAAAGTCGAAAAGTACAGCAAAACGTGAAAAGTCGAAGAGTCGAAAAGCCGCGAAAAGTCGAAAAGTACAGCAAAACGCGAAA